GAGAAGTGACCCGCATTAGCCTCGCTTTCGCGAAAAAACAAGCGCTCGTCCTAGGCCGCCCGGGAATACGAAACTCGCCTATTGTGCTTACCGAATCACTTTTTTGGACGTAATATGTGCTTACCGAATGACTTTTTTGGACGTAATATGTGCTTACTGAATCACTTTTTTAAATTCAAGAAGTAAAGTGAACTGTCGGTTTTGAGGTAAGGTAATCAGCGCTTGGTCTTGTCGCTACCTGATTCTGATCGAAACTTTAGACAAATCACTTTTGTATCATCTTCTGAATAACCTTTTGGTTAGGATTTTCTCTACCACTACAAGAAAGGATCAAGACACTGTAATAACAATTGGAATTACCGTATGGAAATCATCATTATTTTTGTTTGCCTCCTGGTAAGTGCTTCATGACTAAGTAAGGATTATTGATTGCACTAAACTATCACTTTAGCGAGTTACGGTAGTATAGCAGTGGTTTCTTTTAAGTCCGAGTGATGGCTGTTACAGAACAATGTCTTCGCGACTTCTCAGTATCAATGGCCAAAGAATGATTTTAGAATTTCAGTTGTAACTAACGTTTTTATAGTAATAGCAGAGGAAATCGGACTGTTCGGATCAAACCGTTAGACGTAAAGAAAGCCCTGGCCTGGATGTACATACTGTTAAATGTAAGGAATAAATTTCTTAAATATATAGTCATGCCATGTGAGAGTTGTATCATCCTTAAAATCAATCATGGGCTTCCTTCATTTGCCATCATTAGTAGAAACTACGATGCTCAACACGTTTCTTTCGATTTTCATTGAGTAGTTTTTAGTCTTTTTAGAGTTTGTCTCCTTGACTATAAGAAGCTTCAGCAAGTATGAGCCAAACATGTGCTCTATAATTTTTTATATTTTAAACAATACTGCCTCTGCACTGTGTTCTGTTGCGTGGCACACGACATCCTACATCAATTTTGCTCACGTCGTCACTTCCTTTTTCAGGTAAAGCAAACTTCATCGGCGATAATTTTCGAGGAAAACCAACGGTTATACGGTCTATTGGGATCCATGGGACTTGATAATTCAACCGTCCAGGCATTTGGCTTCAGCATCATTGTACTTGCCTTGGCCTATAACCTATTCAACCCAACGCGAAATGAGTCTACAAGAATAGAAATCGAGCCATCTTTGAAGGATTTTGGCCCTCAAGATGAAGATCCGAGTGAGTCATTGCGTTCATTATAAGAACTTTACTGCGCTTTTCACAATCACGCGAACTCTAAAGTTCAAAAGCCGCCTTCGCAATTCCGTATTTCGCTGCCGTCAATCTTAAACCTTGAAACACAGAAACACACTAAACGGATCGAAATCCACCAATCACAAACCTTGACCTTTTGAACCCGTTAAAGTAAAGCTCTGTTTCCTAAGAGGTCCGTTAAGATGATTGACGGCAGCGAAAAACATAATTGTCGTATCACAGCGTGTTCCCAAGATCTTGGGAACCCAACAGGACGCTGGAACACGATTAGCGACGGCGTTACGCAGACGTCCCTTTTCCGCGTGCAACAAAGGAAATAGGAGACGTCTGCAAGCAGGCAAAAAATGACTCGGTCCAAATGTTAGTTTCCAGTCCTCTATTTTAAATACTTATTGTATACGGTAGTTTAAAATCTGTTTTGCTGACTACATTTAATTCAATACAGCCTGTATTGGAGTTACATAACTATTACAACTTGCTTTTTGCTTGTAGAAAAGAATGCAGAGCCAGAGTATCCTAGAAGACATAACCAAGACCACGCAGTATTTGAGAAGACAGGTGTCGAAGTTTTAGCTTCTAGACTTAGCTCTCGAACCACTGGCAAACAAGTGCCATGTGATTTGGCGTTGCAAGCTTTATATGGGAGTGAGTCAACAGAGTCTGGTCTCTTAGAGGAGGATGAATTGTTACTAAGCCCTATAATAACACTGATGTCAAGTACACGGTTAAATGAACTGCTTGAACTTCGCATACCTCACGGTGCTAATATGGTTTTATCGTGTAAGAAGTGGACAGTAATTTTGAAAGAGACACTAAACAGCGCGAAGTGGGCCTCTGTAGCAGAGACTGGTAAGAAGGAAGGAAAAGGAATAAAAAATTTTGTAACAAACAGCAATCATGTGAGGTTTGACACCGACCATCTGTCGACATTTGCTATTGTTGGTAAATACCATAAGTCTTCTTTGTCAGTGTTAAAACGAATGAAGCTTGCAGCGTTCTCTACTGACGCTAAAGTTGGAGAGGACGTTTCAATCCGGGTTTATTGTTTCGATGACTGCGAATGGTCATTAGAGGTACGTCAGTTTCTTTTGCTTCGCACGATTTAGTCAGATTTTGTATTAACGAAACTACTTTCATTTTACGACCAGTAAAAAAGAAATTGGAAGGCTGAGGGTGGCGTATGCGATTTTGCATACATAGAGGTACATGGGCGGAGCTCAGTGCTGTAATCAAAGGTTTCCTTTATCGTCACTACGACCTTCAGGTTATTTACACCGTGATCGTGATGGGGTGGCCAACTTACTTACGTGCCTCAGATTTCACTTCCTAAGTTAACTTTCAACTTTCTCTTAATACAGAGAATAATGGCGAGGGAGCAGAAGGAAGGAGGAAAAATGGTATCATCAATTGAATCACTAAACTTCTCTGTTACCCTAGAGAATGATGTTGAAATTACCGTACAGGACGTTGCAGACTGGCAGCTAAACCAAGATTCACCAAAGGTATCAGATCTCACTGTCTCAGTAAGTTGGCTAAGCTATGCGCTTTGAGCCTGGCCATGTTAAATGGACTAGTAAGAAAGGCTTAGACCAGATATGGCTATTTTTACTTTATGTCGATAGATTCACGAAGATGTTAGGATGTTAATTTACAATGTAGTACGCAAAACTTGGTTCGCTGTATCTTTGCTGTTTGTGTAGTTCTGGTACGACTCGTATGTAAACAAAAAACAAAAGAATTGTACACCAGCCTCGTTCTCAGTCTTCCTTAGCGAGTTCGGATGTAACGTCACCTGTCAAGCTTTTCAGGAGGCGCTAAGTTCCAAGCCTCCTCCGCTCACTTGGATACAAAGACGTAGCCATTGCACTTTATTAACTATGGTGTCTTAGACGTTTGAAATACCTTTTGACCTTTCACCTCTTTCTTCACAGAAACTCAGTCATACTTCCTTGAAGAGCTCCTTCAACCTTATCCCTTACTGCGAACTTGTGTTTCATCCTACAAACAATACAGGCAAAAACGGCTTTTTTGTTGCAATGACCTTTGCTCAACAGTCGTCAGAGAAAACCGTGCTGTATGCTAGTGTAACAATAAAAAAAAGGTGATCGTGTACCGTATTTATTCGATTAACCACCCTGGAAGCTTATTAAATTTTTGGACCTTGAGATTTGCGCTTATTCGAGGTGGGTGCTTATTCGAAGCTAAAGCGAAAATGTAACAAAGCAAGGTTTCTGTACAAGACCCTGAAGACAACTCCGTCTTCGGGAGGGTCTCTTATTATCTCTCATTGGAGTTTTTTTGGGAGGGAGTGGGGTGGGGTGGGCGCTAATTCGAGGCTGGGAGCTTATTCGAATAAATACGGTATCTTCAGATGATCCCCAGTTTTAAGGATTTTTCATTTTGCCATTAAAAAAAAAACAGTATTTCTAAAACTGTATAATTTTTTAGCTTGTTTCCAAAAAAGTGCCGCTTTTTTACAAGGACAGCTTTTTTATGAAACGATATATTATGTAAGCAAACATACCATGTTCCTTTTGGTGGTGCTAGGACCAGGTCTCAATTTGAGAGGACGTGGTGCTAAGTTCTAATTACAAAGCCGTTATGATCTGATGATTGAATTTTTAACCAGCCGATAAATATAATACATTTTGACGACCTTCTTCTGACCAAGTGTGTTTCTTTCGTTTTCGATATCTTTGGAAAGAAAGGGTAAAAGATTCAACAATATGTAAGAAGAGTGAAAGTAAAACCACACGCATGCAAAATTTCGCAATAAAGCAACTGCATATTATATTAGTGTCAAACTTGCATGTCAGATAAAAATGCATGTATTTCTATTAAGGGGAAGGTGCATTTTCAGCACATAGTTGAATCCTATTCCCGAATCTGAAATTTAAGTGGATGCCAACTCATTCTACGGCAAAAATGATTCCTTTATCTGAACTGTATGATCATGTCACAAGAAAGCCTTTATTCGCCCATCATTTGCAACAACTTCCTATAAGTACAATCAGGTGCAGATCTCAGCTAGCTCTATTGAGCTTTTCTAAAGAGGATCCCTAGCTTTGGTCTGCTATTTTTACACTGAAGCAAAAGCACTGTAATCTACACCTTTTAACCCTGTTGTCACAATTTTCTGCTACAAAATAAATGTTTATCATTAGATTACCTGTGTTTGCTCATCTTGTTGACGACCCTTCCTTTACAAGTAGAAAGGGATTAAATAGTAGAAAAGAGTTCAAGTGGACCAAGGACTTATGCCGACTTATTATCAATGCACTACTCTTAGTGTATTATAACAATAACAACAAACCATTCGCCAAATTTACAAAAAAAAAAAAAAAAAACAAGAGAAGACTAAATTAACTAAAATCGAGCCAAAAAGACATACACAGAATAGCAAAATTTCAATGAACTGAGTGGTTCCAAAAATAAAACTGCATATCATCTGGGTACTGACACAGGAAAATTGAAGAGGGGAAAATAGATAATAGAGTAAATGAGAAGATAAAAGAACGAACCAGTCAAACAATCTAATTAATCTAAGGAATTCAATTCAAGAAAAACAAATAAGAAAGAAAGAAATAACAATGTGGAAAAGAACGGTTTCAGATGGCAGTACAGTACCGGTATTTATCAGTTACTGAGTTATGAGTTAAGGTGACAGGTCTAATAGCGTTTAGCGTCGACACTGGTAGAGTTCCATTGGTGAACTTAAGGTTAGACTGATACCACATCGACAAAGAAAAGCGAAAAGGACTGAAGAAAATCATAACTAGCATTAGACAAAATTGTCAAAATTGACGCCACATCTGAAGAGCTGCCATCACTACATGGCAACCAGTGACTTGTAACTAGCTGGTAATCCTTAAAAACCCCAACTGCCTGTGTATTTAAGCATTACGAGTCTGATAGGAAAAGACCTTTCCCGCATTACGCTCCAGTGAGCAAACATAAAAAAAGGACGAGGCTCGGGTGGACAATTTCATACAAATCACTGTATTTTGTCCACCCGAGTCTCGAGTTGGTTCCTTTGTTTACAGGAATGCAGGAAAGGTCTAAGAAACGAGCCATTCAGATTATTTACTATCCTTTAATAGAAGTACGAAAAGTCATTTCCTTAACGACGAAGTTCTTATCAAAGTAGACCCTTTAAATAAAATAAACGTTTAACGAAAGGTCAATACTTTGAAAATAAGCAATGAATAAATAAGTAAATAAACTAGCAGATAAAAAACTTAAGTTTAGATACACAGTAATTTTCAAGGAGCTATAATAACTTTTCTAGTGGGGCTAATTTAACTCCTTACGGTGGAGTTTTTTTTTTGGGGAGTTATTTTAACTCCAAAAAGGAGTTTAAAGAACTCTTTTTCAGGAGTAAAAGTGACCCCAGATATTGAGGAGTTAAAATAACCCCCAACAAGGAGTTATCCTGTACCTAAAATTTTTACTCCATTTTCGGAGTTATAATAACTCGTAAAAATTACAGTGTAGCCATCACTGATTTTTATGACCTTCACTTTGACTATCCCCGGGTAAACAAATGGCACAACAACACACCTAATCTCTTTTTGTTACAAAGAAATCACTCATAAAAGGTCGGAAAGATTTTTTTGACTAGTTGAGCCTTTTCTCGCATGAATGCTTTCCTGAAAGCCTATTATTTTGAAAACAACAAACTCTTCAATGTTGCTGAGTTATTATCGCTTTATTCGTTTTTACCCAAATATCTTTTTACAAACCGTTCGAAAAACTGATGCACTGGGCACTAAATAACTAAGGTCCACACAGTGCTCTAGTGTTAGTTTTGCTTAATAAACAAATTGTTTTCGTTTCCATATTTGGTTTTATTGATGACAGGTTACAGAAACTAACTTAAGTTTACAGAGATTTATAATGTAAGATAGTTGAACGATACAAAAGAGAAAATGATACGATAAGGCACTGACCACTTCATCTTTTGAAGTCCACGTACTTAATCAGCTGTATATACCAATTTGTATTGTCAAGTTGACAACGCTCTATAAATACCTACCAAATAGCATTTAAATTATTTCCAGTTAAAGGAAATAAATATTCCTGATTTCTTTACAATGTTAATTCTATTTTTCTGAAATACACCCTTTTTTAAAAAAAAATATCCCAAAATAATAAAAAAAGAACAATCAAGCAATTGAATCCACCTTTAAACGGCACCACGACTTAATCAGTATTTTTATATACAGGGTTGACAAAAAGGTCAGATCAAATGTGTGTCACATATTAAAAACATTTTTCTCTTGCCTGAAGTGATGCTGACACCTTTCAATAGACTAATTCGTGTCATGTTGGTGTCAAAGAACTAGATATTATCCTACTACTGGAGCAGGGCTAGTCCAAAACATGGCAGGTCCCCTGATGTGATTAGTTCACAGGGTCCAGAGGAGTTTCGTGTGAATAAATGAATTACTTATTTAAAGTCTCACCTTGAAAAATGTCTATACCTGTCGCTTAGCACGATTAATCAGCCCAATGGGATCTTTATTAATCTACTGTAAACGATTTCTTCGCTTCTTATCAGACCCAGATCGACTTTTGAAAATCAATAACCGCAAGCCATATCCTCGCTGGCGCACAGCACGTCACCCGAAGGGCGACCGAAGCACGAAGTGCCGAGTAAAAGAAAGGACAAGTGTCCGTATTTTATACTGGAAGCCGATCTTGCGAGCCCTCAGTCTCTAGGTTTGCGGTCCATAGAATGTGTAACGAAACTGTAACGCGATCAAAATAACCCATTTTTTCAGAGGTTTTCGACGGGTTTTGATGTTCTAACGACAAACACATCTCCTCTGGACCCTGTGATCAGTTTTCTTCACAACTGCCATAATGCACCCAATAGAAATAAACCAAAACTGTTCACGCAAGGACTACAACTGGCATCGTTAGCTCTCGTCTTATAATATAAAAGGGTACGATATTGTAATTGATGCTAGTTTTTTTCTTCCTGACACAATCATCACATTCAGTCACATTTGTTGAAAATCATAAATGCGAATCCAATCTCGAAATAGCTATTTAGTCTAATCTTCCAAACTGTGACATATTTAGGTATGCATGTCACTTACAACAAGAAGTATAATATCTAAATCTGAAATTGAAAGCAATATGACAGTAAAACTGGTAAAAAGTAAAATGATCTCACTAGCTATTACAAAAAAGAACAGGAAAATTAACACGTACTAAGGATATTACTTATTCTAATATTAACCAACTTGCATTAGACAAGATGATTAAAAAGGACTGCACAGGTTTACAAGATATGAGCATTCCACCTGTCAGAACAAATTGTTCGCTTCACAAACCACAGAGTACGATGTCAACAACAAACAATATACTTTATGTTAAGAACGATTGTTTTTGAAAGTAACCATCTTTGAGATAATACTAAACAGTATTAATATCACGCATTAGAGACTGACTCTTAAGTTTAAAGGCTTTCAAATTATTGTACTCTTTCTACAAGAAAGGCAAAATGCCTTTGTTTCATGTGTATAGCTTAATGCCATACTGCAAAGGTGAGTGGCAAAATGTAATCTGACGATTATCATTTAACGAATATGACTTCCATGAAGCCATCAACTAGTTTCACATATCAGATCCACTGTGTCTCTTTTTCTGTAAAATGGAAGCTGCCCCTTGATTTTCACGCTTGGATTGCATAACTTTGATGACAAAGTCAAGGACATTTCCTTTGGTCTGAATGGTACGCAACAAATGAGAATTGCGTTCCTTCTTCGTGGGTAAAGACATGACGTCATCCATGTCATCAGCATCAAGAATTCTGTGTTGGTACAAGTGGTCACAGAGGGATATTGGATCACCAATATTGTCCAGAAGTTCAACCCGACAAGAGCGCAAGGCGTCTCTGTCCTCATCTGGCATAGTTGTGACTGGAAAATAAGGACATTTTTGTTAGCATCGCCATCTCATTATTACTAAACAGCTTTTTTCCAAAACAGCACTTCCCATTGCAAGGAAGGCCAAATTCAAGTAGAACTGATTTTTTTATGAAATTTGTGAATATAGACACGGTAAAAGACACTTGATTTTCACAATATCAACGAAAATACACACCCTATGTACCTCTAAAAACTACAAAACATAAATTTTTCAATATTTCAGAATATAGGTCATAGATAGTAGGAACTCTGCTGCCCACTTCTTTATTGGTTAATGAATTAATAAAACCAATTTGCACCTGTAAACATCAATAAACTATGAATCGAAAAAAAATTAAACTAAACAACAACTAACGAATCTGCACCTGGACAACCACGTGGCCAAGGAGAATTGCTTGCTTCGTAATACTGGAAATGAAACAAAAAACTTAACACTAAATACGATCTGCTTCTAAACCTGGAAGATGTAGATAGATAACCTAGTAAAATAATATTTCCAAATACATGTTAACTAAACTGTACCACAAGAAGGTTACCTGGGCAGTACCTAAGAATTACACCCCACCATGCAAGCAGGTACTAGAAATCAAACTTACTCTACACAATGTGAGAGATACTATTGACGTGAGAACTTGACCCGGACTTAATGGCAATTTTCACTTAATGTAGCTCAATTACTATGCTCAAAATCTGTCAAATTATAGATACTAAGGCAGGAATTCTGAGGAACATAGCTTACAGCAACAGGAAACATTAAATATATAGTTGTGCTTCCAGTTTGGAGCGTTACTCTAACACTGTCCTCGTAAAGCTCGTCTCTGCCACCAAGGCATTTGATCAGAACTTCAACTGAGAATCCAGCTGTGATGCGCTCACTACTCTGAGAAATGATGTCAGCAACAGTTACAGTTCTCTGCAATGTAGAAGAAATAAGAAGCAATTTTAACAATTAGTCCAAATTATACTGAGTATGGTTCAATTAGAGAACACCTATAGCACTGCTCTTTTTCAGGGCAACCACTCATGACAAATCAAACTTCTCTGACTTCCACATGACTTTGCTCTCGCCTCTAAACCATTTTTATTGACCTTGCCGCATTTACATTTTCTTCATTTTCAACTCTTTCACATAGCGTGAATATTTGTCTCTTGTATATGTTCATCCAGGGATACGGTTTCCCATGGCATTTTGTATCAAATCGATTAACCACTTAATACTTTTCTGGTTGAAACATGTCTCTTTTATTATCTCAAGAAACAATAAGAACAGAGTTACAATATTGTAACTGACTTCGCCAATAACTATGATTATTTCCTGTTTAATGTTTTTTTTAATTCCCTGCTCTAAAAGAAGATAAATTTTCCTATAATTTACCTGACTCAGTATTTATGGCAACCTTCAGTTGCTAAATCACATATTTATAATCAGTTTAAAACGATCAGTCATTCAAGACTTTTATTCATTTGTCTAACCTCTAGCTGGCCATCTCAGAGCTACAAATCGGGACACTGTACTAACATAATGAAACTACTTACAATACATAAGTTAGAACAACATATATAAACGCATACACGTTTTCAAAATTAATAACCGGATTCTTTTTTTTTTCAAAATCAGGTTACACTTAAACATATTTTTCTATTAGTCGTGTTGTTGTATAGCACACTTTTAATAGTCTGTAGTGGGATTTCTCGTGTTCCAGTTTGAACAGCTCTGCTGAGTAAAGTTTTACGCAAGGAGAGCGACCTTCTTATTGCTCCCATTAAAGTAAACCTACACGGAATAACTGCTTAATTTTTTAAGAATTTTAGCGTTAATGAACAAACGCTATGATCAGTTAATTTAATAACATACCCTGCAAGGTTCATCAACTGAGAAAACCTGACCAACAACCATTTCAAACTTGACATATAATTTGTCAGCAATTATTAATTGTCGATGAAGTCTACATTGCTGCATGGGTTTGTCTTCTTCCCCCATAGGAAATTCTGTCCCATGACAAACAAGTGCTTCATCCCTTTTAATTTTGGGGAATATCTACAATACAAAAAAAGTAAGTCAGGTATAGGCATGACACACCGTGTAATAGATACAGATAATTCACATAACTAACCTCTTGATATTTGTGAGCAGGGATAATGTATAGAGCATGCTCAAGTTTATCCCTTGCAATTATCCGTCTTTTAAAAAGACATATAATAAAAAGGCCTTCGTAGAGTTTCATGGCACCTAAAAAGGATGATAATAATACAAATCAGTAAACGAAAATCTGTATAACCCTTGCGAATTAATATCATGGATATCAGACTGCAGTTTTATAATGAGAAAAAAGGTTAAGCTAACTAGGTTATCTTACGTACTAGGAAAAACGTCCAAGCCCAATCTGGAACCCTTCATTCCACCTGCGAGGGAATCTTTTACATTCTTGTTAGCCTCTTGCCGGCCAGTAGGCGGGGAATGACGTGACGCTGTTTCTCGTGAATTGACGATAACCCAGCCATCAGTATCTTCAGTAGTAGAAAACAAAGGAACACTCGTCGCATCATATTCCGTCCCTGAACTCGCAGCCAAATATCCCTCCCGACTATCAGAATAATTGTAGCGGTGGGGGTTATTCTTGAAGCCATTTGACTGATCAAGCTGTATTGTGTGAGGAGATGAACGTTTTGAGGACGTAATCATCGACTCCTCAAGTTCCCCCGGAACGGATACTGTTCCTGTAGAACTTGGCATTTCGATGTGTTCTCCTAAAATCTCCAGACGATCCACAAGCACCTCTTGAGGATTCGAAAACCAAACTTCATCAAAGTGTAATGGCTGCGATTGTCTATCATGTTCTGCCTCAAGAAGTAAATCTTTCTCCCTGTCATCAGAACTACGTCGAATTCGAGAGTGGTGTGAATTACTGTATGTTCCGACTGAGTTTACTAACGTCCCGGGATCGGAAGACGATGATGACGGAATTACCGCTCCATCGTGGCTGTTTCCGAAGTGACTTTCTGAGAAGTCCATATTTAGTTGGATTTCGTTGTCTCCCATGTCTGTCTGACCATGTAGACAAACAAAACAGCGCACAAACTTAAAGGTAATCCGCCATGATGCGAATGAAGCTTTAAGTAGTTATTTCTTGGGCTTTTAACGAGAACACAAAATGCTTCCATAAGCATCGTTACCGCAAACCAATAGCAGCTACGTCTTTAACCAGGTGGGCTGACATTTTTGTTTGATTCAGTTATGTGATTGGCTAGAAAGCCCTTGAAAGTGAAAGTCATGTGAGGGGGAATCCCCCGAGCACAAACTTTTTAGTGTTTGTGCGTTTGTCCACTCCTTTATTCCCCCGTAAACGCAATGACAGTGAAACAATAACCTGGGTGCAGCGATTCAAGAAAGTAAGTATTGAAATTCTACACTTTCATCAACTTTTTTAACCTACGATCGTTTCAACACATGCAACAGAGCACCACGAACACACTCATGAACGATCACAGGACAAGTCCGAGGAAGTTAGCAACAAGCAGCAAGAGACATTTCAGTGCTCCAAACATACAAAACTTTCGGTTTTGTGCAATGCAAGCAACTTTTGTGACAATGTGAATATGTGATTACTGAGCGCTTTCTAAACTACCTTATGACGTCAAAGCTGTCTGGCTGCTGTCTGAAATTCTCGACATTAGATTTCAGGTGCTAGGTACAAAAGACGGGAATATGGATGTACTTGCCATATATCTGACTATCTTCTTGGATTTTCATCTTATTTTAACTGTAAGTATGACAAAGATAACAAGTCACCTGTGCTTGATAACTTTTGTAGATTTCAGATTCCATCACATTATCATTGTATAGTTTGTCTTATCTAAGGTTGCCCAGAGCGGATGCTAGTAAGTACGTGAATCGAATGGGCTAAAGGCTAAGGAAGGTTAACATTCCATAGGAGAATCAATCTACTGTTATATGGCTGCATATATCACCCATTTAATACTTGAAAACAGCACTTGTCTCACTCAAAAGTGCATCTTTAGGAAAACTGCTGATACAATGGCAAACCAAAACTTCCAACTTCCGCCTTGATCATAACGAGTATAGAAAACTTTTGGGTTCACACTTTAAGAATGTGATCTGTTTGATTCTCTTCTTAAGGTTTATTCAAGTTGTGGTGGTGATGAGTTTACAGTTGAAGATGACAACTCACGCCACGTGATCTCTTGTATTAAGTGTTCTAAGTATATGTGTGAACCTGGCTTTGGACTGTCTCCTCAGTGTGGTGAAATAGTAAAACTAACTGACGTAAGCAAAATAGGTTGTCGGCAATGTCAAGTTGGAAAAACGTATTCTGATACCAATAAAGATTATAGTTCTTGCAAGCCATGTCAAATATGTCCAGACTCTCATACAGTAGTGAGAAACTGCACTTTGAAAGCCAATTCGGAATGTAGTCGAGACTGTGGGAAGAAGTTCTATTTTGAGGAAACAACAGGGTCCTGCAGGCGATGCTCATTTTGTTGTCATGGAAAGAACGAAAAAAAAGATGACTGTAAAGACATGCCCTTCTACGAGCAGTGTGATGCTAACGTCCCCCTGAAAACAATTAATGACTGTAAACCGAAATGTAAAGATAATCAGTACATTGTAATGACCAAGAATGGTTCACATTGTGAGGACTGTAAACATTGTCCTCTTGGAACTTCCCCATCTATAAAATGTGGAAGTATGGTGGAAAGTACTGCTGGCATTAAATGTTTAGGATGTGTGGCAGGTCAGACATTTTCAGACAAGCTAGACACTGGTTCCTGTAAAACTTGTACTAAATGTTCTATTGGACAAAAAGAACTGATACCATGTAATGTGACAAGGGACAGAGTATGTGGTGAGTGTGCTAAAGGTTTTTATAAAGATGACACTAGTAATACATGCATGCCATGTTCAGCATGCTGTAATGATGACGAAGATGTACATGTTGAAAAATGTGGAGAAGAAAACATGCCACTAAGTCTGCAATGTAGTTATACTAGGAGAGCTATCAGTGTTTGTCAACAAAAGATACAAGAAAATACAAAGCAGGAAGACTCCAGAAGCTTGTTAGCTGTTTATATAGCCGCTGGTGTTACAATGGGACTTGTGACTTCAATTCTCATAATGCTATTGTTGAGGTGGAGACATCAAAGGTACAAGAGGTTGTCAGGAAGTCATTCACTTACAATGCTACTTCCATCTGAAGAAGAACAAGAAGAAGAAGGTTACTATATTCATTATTCATCCAGTTAAATATTTTGCACTTTTTTATAGGTTCAAAGCCCCCAACCGCTGTTGGCCAAATTTAGATGCTGTTAGCAATGTACCATCAATCTAATGGTATATTTTCTTGGAAATGAGGTTGAACAATGGTATATTAGTCTGGAAACGAGGCATTCACCTCAGTGGATAACATTCTCCTGGATTTGCATAATTCTTGACATCATACACAGTCTCATTCAATATAATTGCTAAATACACTCCATATATGTAGCAACATGCATATTTTCCACACCATTCTCTAAACATTCTTTGTGATTAGAGCGGTTTTCACTTGACTGTCGAAAGGGATTGGTTTTGGTTTTGGTTTTGGTTTTACTACGCCCTTTGGTTGGCTAGTGTATTTACTTTGGTTTTGGTTTTACGACAGTCAAGTGCAAACTGCTCTATGTCAAGAAGAAATTGATAAGAAACCATGATACTTTTCATTGGCAATTATTTACTTTACTCCCATAACCTTAGTTAATGTTTGATTGAGCAGTGTTAGTTTTAAGGAGAAACAAGGTACTTGTCACGTGAAAGGCTTGAAGGACCTACCCATTCCCTAAGCCAACATTAACACTTACTTCTCACTTAGAACAAAATATTGGCTTAGGGGAGGGGTAGGTGGGCAGTTTCTCAGAAACGTATAAAGATCCTTTTAGGATTACAAGACACAAATGTAGCAATGATAAAAGTCTAATCAGGTGGGGTGCTGCAGAAACTTCAACTCTAAAATGTAGACACAAATTTTTATGGTATTATGGCTTCTAATATTTAAAATTCAAATCAAATTTACACAAATTGCCCAATGACCATGAAAATACCAGTCTGCATGCTTAATTAAATTAAGCTAATAATTAAGCTAAGAATTAATTAGAGAACACAGGAAAGAAGTATTGATGGTCAGTCTGTTTATATCCCTATTGTGGACCTTGTCCCAACCAGAGCGACAAACAATAGTACCAACCTGGATTTCATATATTTTTTGTTATTTTCTATTATAGCAACGAGCCATTCTGCCACAAAACTTGAGGATCCAACAGTAAATGTTTCACAGGAGACTTTATCCTTTGAAAAATGTGGAGTCTTACTTCAGTTCAATGATCCACATAGCTTCTTTAATGATGCTCAACAGATAAGAGTAGAAATATGTTGGGATCAAACTTCTTTTCCCGCTTTGAATCAAGATGAAGTGATACTCAGTCCCATTATTAAGTTTCACCCTTATGGCATAAGACTATCCAAGCCTGTGCAGATTAGAATACCACACAGTGCACTAGTATTTTTTACTCATGGTTGGAATATAAAACTCAAAAGTTCAGCATTTCAAAATGAAATAAATGTATGGAGGGATGATGAAGTGGATGAAATAAGTAACAATGATGTTTGCTACCATGCGGATTGTCTCCTATCCTATGTTGTTGTTGGTACACCAGCGTTCAATTCCAAACCAAACAAAAAGCGTTTCAAGTGTGCAGTTTTTGGTGGTGAAGGCAAAGTTGGTGAGAACTATACAGCATATCTGTATGTGTTTGACGACTGCGAAGCATCACTTGAGGTAACTTCTTGTCTGTGGCTTATAGTTAACAGTCTCTGACNCCCCACCCCCTCCCAACGCTATTGATTATCATGGTCACAACAACCAAAATAGTGTTACAAAAAAATTCCAAGAAACCTCTTCACCAACTTGTTACATGTAGACTACACGCAAAAGATTATCATGTCTGTCCTTTAAGACTTCTTTTCTTAATCTTCTTAAAGAAGAATAAATTCTATGCTATATTTCACATTATTTCGTTCCATTTTCAGAAAATAATGCAGGAAGAAAAGTCTAAAAATAGGATTCTTCTGGGATCTCTTCAGTCTTTATATGTCGAGACTGTACAGGATACTGATATCAAGATTTCTGTTAAACAACTTGTTCAAGGATGGAAGGAAGCATGCATAAATCCACAGGTTATTTAATACTCTCTGCAATGAGTCCTACAAATTATACATTAGTTATTATTAATGGTATATACTGTGTTTGTACAGCTTCTTAGACTAACGTTTGATGCTGACAGGTGTCACTTCTGCAGGTTTATAGAAGCTAAACTTAATAAAAAATAAAAATTAGTGATGGTTATGACGAAAAAACAGGTTAGGTGCATGAGTCTACAGGAGGTGTCTCCACAAACAAGTTCATTATATTTTGTTAACCATTTGTTTAAAAAAATGAATGATTTATCATTAATCAGATAATTTAATGTTTTAGAAATTAAGAGTGCATGTACTGTTAATAATAATAATAATAATAATAATAATACTAATACACGTTATTTAAAGAGGGTAGCACAGAATAGTTACAGAAACTAGTAAACTTGTAGCCCTCTATCTAAATTAAAATTACAAAAAGCATAAGATTCAGAATATACAATGTCTAAGTACAAAATAAATAAAACTAAGGAAATATAAAAGTTCTGCAACAATATGAATGAGTATAAGAGCTAATGATACGGCTAGTGAAATACAGACAAGAATATGTTTATATTTTTACACAGGTGATAACACACAAGAGTTTGAAGGACTCCTACACAACAATACCAAAATCAGAGATATTGTTTGAACATGACAATGGTACAAACCGAGATTTTCACTGTACTCTTGAACTAACAGCAGACAATGCAGCAACAAAACTTTCTGCAGTGGCTTCAATCAAAGATGTGAGTTTCACTTAAATTTAATTTCAAACCTTTATTCAGTGAACATTTTCTTTACTGCTGAACAAAGGAGGCAAATTCATGCTTGAGTTGCAAAATACAGTCATTTCTATGAAACTGTCTGCACAAACAATAAACCCATTTAAATGTGTGTTCACACTGGAATAGAATGCAGGAAAGGCCTACATCAAACAAAAATAATACTGGTATATAAAAAATTAATGTAGAAAATTGAGGTAGGCATAATACAATGTATAACATGTACCTTTAAAATAACATCAATTTGAATTTTCTGCAGGATCCATTTAGGAGATACCAAGAGAGCCACCAGGGCCTCGGTCATAATGATCTGATGGTGACTGGGAGAAATCTTTGTGGTAAGCTGTTCTGCCTACAAGATAGACATGTTTACTGAGGCATTAGCCAACCTTTAACAGCACACTATATCCTACACTGCACCACATACATTCTAATAATATATTATAGACTTAACTTGCTTACAACCTGGGCTTCTTACAGTCAGGTCTTAGCTTATCACTTACATACAAAATTGAAGTTTGATTGAAGCCATTCTAATTCAAAATAACTAAATATGAAACAGTTCAAGGTATACATACGGCTAAAATGGGCAACAAAATGACCTGTCTTGAAGTATTTTAGCTTCTTTTCTTTTCTTGGTTTTGATCATTGTAGAATTTAAAATGTATCAAAATATTTTCCCCTATTGTGTAGTCAGTTTCACACAAATCCTGAGTAACCAACTGGCAACTTACAACTGATGCTAATCTTGTAGATCCCTTGATCACCGATGAGAGCAGACCATCAATTTGCTTCCATGAAATTCCAAAGGAGGTACTACGAGCTGTTGCCATGAAACTGGACCTGTCATGCAGAGGTGTGGGAAACTGGAGACACGTTGCAGTACACCTAGGCTTCACAGAAAAGGAGATTAATGACTTTAGAGCAGAATTGTTGACTCCTGATGGCAGTCCATGTACAGTGATGCTTCATGCTCTTCAAGAAAAGCAACCAAAGTTTACTGTAGCAGAGTTTGTACGCATTCTACAAACTCGCAAAATTCAGCGATTTGATGTGGTCAATATCCTAGAGCCTTATGTGTATGAGCTCATTTCCAGTTTTTCTGAAAAATAAGAAAATTCTCAACTGTACTGATGAAGGATAACCTGAAGAAAAAGAGTACCAATAACACAACAAATAATAAAGATGCTGTCAGATATCAAAAATAATACAATTCCCCGCCCCCCTCCCAGATTGCATGATGCATAATTATATTGTTAAATATAATTGTGGGTCTATGTGGGTATGCAAGTACAAGGATATAAAGACCTACATGTCAATTGCTTCATTGCCAAGGTTTCATCTTCATTTTACTTACTGGTAGAGCTTAATGTTCTATTAAACTTGTGTATTCAGTGTTTGACAGAATTTCTCAAAATAAGAACCCGATCAAACTTGTAGGTGAAACCAGGTTCTTATGTAAAAGGGGTCTAAATGGACAATCTTAGCCTAACAGGTTCTTCTGTTAGAATCTAGGTTCTTAAACACAGGTTTTTACTGTATTGACTGGTATAGAGTGCATTTCACACATCTGTGTTAATGAGAATGATATTATAATAACCACCACGATATAGGGATCTATATCTACTACAAGCATAAACCAAACTAGGCCAAAAATCGTTTTGATCAACTTTGGAGTTAACGAATGGGACAAACTTGTACTAGAAGTAACACAGTCACAGGATTTACCTTTTGTGAACAATTCTAAACCAAGTAATCTGAAGTAATTTTGTTTTTTTTTTTCACCTTTTTTATGATATTAACTTCATTTTCCTAAAATTACCAGTTTCATGAAAAAGATCACAGCAACCCCAACCCCCTATATATCACGTGAGTGAGTGTAGGTTCCTGCTTGATAAATTACTGATTTTATTGTTTATTTCGTTTTCTCTACTGTCATCAAAATTAAATAAGCCCCATAGGGGCCATGTTTTAATATTAATGCCCACCAACAATGGGATCACAGCTGTCTTTTAAGCTGGGCTGACCTAGGTACTTTGTATGCAAAATAAAGTTAACTTTATATCATCAATAGCTGTCATACTTCCCGTGTTGTGATTAATACTTTTATGTTTAACTGTCATTTTCACACACAACCCATAATTAAAAATAAATCACAATAAAAGGAAATTAAATAGCATTCCTGAATAAGCTGGAAGGTGACAAGGTAGAGTTAGAAGGGTCCCTCTTCCCTACCCCTGTATTGGTGCTCACAAAGCCTTGACATATATGTTTACTTTCTGCCACAATAGGCCATTTGCATAAAGAGGTCATGAGACATCATTTTTATGAATGAAACTTAAACAAAAGAATAGTGATTTAGTCTTTCAAACCCACACCATTTTCTTAAAATGAGTAAGTTCGTAGCTGGTCATGTGACCAAAATGTGTTTTTTAAAATTATGAATTACCTCTTTCTGAACACAAATTTTGCACTTAAACTTCAAGGATAATGTTGAAAAGATGACGTAGTAACGTTTACAGCACATCTGAGCGTAACTATCATAATTTACGTTTAACAAGATACAAGCACAAAAGTAGTTTTGGCTGCCATGTTGGAGGGCAACAGCATGCCCTCCAACATGGCGGCCAAGACAAATAATACTTTGTTGAAAAATCAAAGTACCATAAAATTAATCTCTCCCTGGAATGTGTTTCCTCTCAAAATTTGGATGTAAGATAATTTTTGTCAATTTTCGGCATCAGCAAGATTCCAAATCATTGTTTATAAAGGAAGAATTGGAGACTATGATTAATGACTTGACAGGGAATAAGCCACGGCATCATCCCAGAATGCAAAAAGGCCTCTGCAGAGGAGAGAGCTCTTAGTCCAGATGGCTTATTCCCTATCAAGTCAATAATCATAGTCTCCATGATTTCCGTGTGTACTTTGCCCCTCCTATCTTGAAACGTTCTGGTAATGCCAGCCCTTTTCCCTTCCTTTTCTCGCATTTTTAAAGGTAATCATTTTTGTTGGTAACATTGCGGGCGCCACAATTCCACCTCATTTGAATTTTGATACGGTCGGAAGAACATAAATGGCTAGATTATCATATGCACTTAATCTGCAGGTTGTTTAGATTTATCGTGAAATGGGATAATCCAAAACATGTCTGAGCAAAGCTTGCCCGATATTTAACTCCTTAGCTTTATATTGTCCTTTTTCACCCTACAAACCAAGTGTGCATTCCACTTCCAAGAGCATGTGAACTTTCGATTTTCAAGTGTCCAGGGAATTCCCCGCACCTTTGTTTCAGTCGAAGCAAGCCGACGGATGACAGCCGTGCCATGTTATTGCGTATTTCATTTCTGTGGATAATCTCTCGAGACTACTGCAAATTCGAAACGACTTTAAGCCTTTTCTTGACTGTGAAAACTACAGAAATGATGTGCAATTATAGCTTATAGTGCTTTGGGCATTCTTCGAACATTCCGTCGCTGTACAAAGTTTTCGCGCCAATTCCTTTGCAACATATGATGTGTCTCGGGTTTCTCATGTGACTCATTATTGCGTATGAACTGTCACTTGCTTGAACAAAGAAAACCCTTGTTTATTGGCTACTAAAAATGACGTCTCCTAGAAAAACCAATCAATGTTCATGTAAACAGACGCTCACTGCCATAAATTACGGTCATTCATCGTTCGAAATCACCTGGCTTTTACTCACGTTAGAGCAAGGTTCAAACTTCGTGGCATTTCTTTTTTCCACTTTATCACTTCCATTCACCTTCTGATCCTGTTACAGCCGCAAAACGGATAGCAACGAACTTACCATGCAAGATGGAGAGTTTTCTGACATCTTTTGCACGAGTAAGCGGTTAGCACATCCCTCGCACCTTCGTTTTGTTGGCATTTACGTTCTGAAGAAGGAAGTCGTCGGAAATGGTAAGTTTAACGCTCAACCGTTACTTGTATTATCAAATTATTCAAAGCGTTTTCTTCTTATAATTATTTCAACATGAAGCTTTACTTCTCTTGCGAACATTGTTTGGAACCCTTGCCCTAAACAAAAGCAACGCTCAGCTAACATCGTAGCTTATTACCTAACATAAAATTCACTTCCACACTTGCAGGGGGATAACGAACACCAAATTTATCGAAGACGTCAAAATAGTTATGGATCCTTTAATTTGAAGGTGAGTTTACGTCCTTTTTGTTATTATTTTTTCAAAATTTATTTTTGTTTTACTCCCATAATCTGTTAAGAGATTGCGTAGTTCTGTTAGTTTAGGAATGTGCTTCGTAATTGAAATTATCAAACAAGCTTACTTATCGGGAATTTCAGTTCTACAACCTGACCAAGGTCGTGAAGACGACTAAATAACTGTAGTACCTAACTCGTGCAGATTTTATTCTCTCAGCCCTACAATATTCCTACAATTTTATGGTGTAAAAGGTTTTACTGAAATTAGTTATGGATTGCGCAACGATTGTTGATGAATGTGACTCCGATTTTGTACGTCGATCGTCTTCATCCCTCACAAGACTGCATACACGATACACTTAACGTTAGGGAGAGACAGTTTTAGCCATCTAAATACTTCTGTTTAGAACTTCTACTTTCGAATCGCTGCCTTTAAAATCGCGGCAAAGTAATGTACACGTAAGTTTACATCGTGCTACCATGTTTGTTTTTACATGCAAATGAGTCTTGTGACTTCCGGGTAATCTTTGATCATGCTCAGAGCAGTGTCAGAGAAAGCGTCACAAAACGGAAGCGTTATTTATTTATTTATTTTTTCATCAGTATCGATCCTTCTTTGGAGACAGTCATACTATGTAAACAAACAAACATTTATTCTGGATTTTGGATTAAAAAATTACCAAGTTCTTCGAAATCAGGTTTATTTCAATATCCCAATTTTTTTACTTTAATACAGACTTTATTGCTTTTTGCAGGTGTTAATTCCACTACTTATTTTTTTGGAACTAAGTGTAGTTGTGCCTAACGTCAGGGTAAGTTTCTTAGTATCCTTGTTACTACTTTTTGGTAGGACTGTAACAATTACTAATAAAGTCAATAGTAAAGTGTGCTGTTATGGCTGGTTACAATTTTTATTGCAAAGCTGATTGTTCTTTAGAGTGTTGGAATACCCTTTGCACTGTTAAAAGTACAGGGAGAGAATATAGTTCTCACAGTTAGTGGCTATCGCTGTTTCAAAAGTGTTTTTCATGTAACATTTTTTTCTTAGTTTGTGGAGTCAAATTTTAAGATTTATTTGATTGTTTTACTTTAACTGATAGTGCATGAACAGCAGTATGTCACTTGCTTATTTTTGTTTATGTCGACATAGCTTTCCCACCTAATATTTGGGGAAGCTGTGTGTGAATCCTACGTTTACTTGAGTTAAGCTGCCACCTCTCAATTACATTTGTATGCCGCAATTAGCTGTAAAAATATTAATATGCATTTCCTTTTAATATATGCCAAACATTAACAGCAACAGTGCACTGAACACTTTTTAATTTTCATAAAAAATTTTAATACTGATGAAACTTATTTGAAGGAAAATAGACCTTAGCAACTGTTATGTTTCTTTCACTTTTCTTTACTGCACTATCTTACAGACTATTATTTGCAATATTGGTTAGGAAATTTATATCTTAACTAAAAGTACCACCCCAGAATAATGGGCACCCTCACATAGGTGCCACACTTAAAGGTTGAAAGGGTTAGTGCCATAGCACCTGTTTAAGCAGAAATGAGGTAAACTTGCTCATACTTTGTTTAATCACACTGCATCTCTCCACAGAGCATTCTAAATTTCTGATACATTTTGTAGGCAACAAATCAATGTACTGAGTTTCAGTTCCTGGTACGTAATACAGATGGGACAACTTCTTGTGAGGATTGTGAACACTGCCCTCCTGGTCGAGGACTTTCGCATGAATGTGGTACAGAAATATCAGGAGATACAATGATTCACTGCATACCATGCAGTGAAGGCCGCTCGTTCTCCACCAATTATGACACTTCTAGCTGTATTCTGTGCAGTGCATCCTGTTCAGAAGATCAGTTGGTTAATAAAACTTGCACAACAACATCAGATGTCAAGTGTGCAAAGCAGTGTAACAGTAAGGACAGGTAATGCTCTTGCAAATTTAAAAAATTAAGGCTTAATTTTTATCAAGATTAAGACTTACTTAATGGCATTTCTAGTTCTTTATCACTTTCATGATGACTGTCAATCTATCATATAATCAGTTGTTTTTGTCTTGACATACCAATCCCCGTTTTCAGTTTGCATTATCTGGCATGTACCCTAAAGTGTTCTCAGCTGTTCTACTTAGGTCTGTTGCAACCCAGTTCAGTGAATATGTAACTTCTTTGTTCTTAAGGACCTTGCTTACTAATCAATATAATTGCTATTGGCATGTTTGTAGTGTTGTACCTTTTTTGTTGTAATTGACAGCTTGACAGGTTTAGCTTTGGTTTATCTTGTGCACAAAATGAAGATTGCATGTGCACTAAAGGACCTGGCTATATAGCTAGTCGTAAGAGGCTGAAAAGGATACACTTTTAAATTTTAATCACTTTTATAGTTACAATGGTTCTCTAGCTTTATATGTAGTGTTGTTAACTCTACAGGTATTATGATGAAGTAATTGCTGACTGCAAACGTTGTTCAAAGTGCTGTGGAGATGCTCAAGATGTTATCGAAGAGGAATGCAAAAGTAAAATGGGGGCTGCTTCAAACATGATCTGCTCTTTTCAAAGCAGTGTAAATCGGTGTGACAGAGATACTGATACCCTAACACCATCTCCACAAGAAACCAGAGCATCTCAAACTGAGGCAAATGCAAGTGCATCCCCTGAGAATACCACAGAATCCAAAAACGCATCAACAGCAGCATCTTTGAACAAAACAACAACATCTCAAAAAGATAGAGCAACAGAGTTTCCAAAAGTGACCACTGTCGTTCAGAGCACCCCTTTTCCTGCCCATTTTACACAAAATGTAACAGGCACCTTTATATCATCTGGAGATATAAGGAGTTTGCAGGATTCATCTAAAGCAAAGCTTGCCGACAACCAAGTTGGATTAATTGTTGGTATAACCGTGGAAGTGGTGTTGGTTCTAGTAATCTCGGGTGCTTTAATTAGTTATTGCTTATTGTCAAAGTCATACTCTTGCTCAAAAGATCCAGAAAAAGGAGTGTACAATTCAGTAAATGATACTGCACCTTGTCCAGTGGNAGTTGGATTAATTGTTGGTATAACCGTGGAAGTGGTGTTGGTTCTAGTAATCTCGGGTGCTTTAATTAGTTATTGCTTATTGTCAAAGTCATACTCTTGCTCAAAAGATCCAGAAAAAGGAGTGTACAATTCAGTAAATGATACTGCACCTTGTCCAGTGGCTATCAAAGGTAATCTTTTTAACTACCTAATTGTGTGTGTATTGAGCTGTGATTACTATAATAACCCAGACCTGCAATAGCTGGTATTAAGCCTTGACATGCTGAATGGAGCTCCGAAAATTCGGTCGTGAAATAGCAGCCCTTTTGATTCTTTCTTTCTTTAAATCTGCACGGTGTCCTGTTTTTCTGGCAACCAGTATTTAATGCCTGGTGATCATTTTATGATTTTAGGTCATCACTGAACCCATACAATTTTGGTACAATATGTGAGGTTAAAAGAGCTGCACTTATTTTCAGGAAAAGATCAAATTATTAGTCAGTGCACATGTATATTAACTATTCCAGCTTCAACTAGTAATATGGACAAACTAGGTTTGGGTAGTAATCCCATAGCTAGAGAAATAATTAAACTACAAACAAGGAGTAAGGAACATTTTTCTAAGTCTGTATGTCATCGCCTTTTTTTTTTTTAGTTTGTTGTTATTGTAGATATAAATACCCTTACATTTCAGGATTGTGTATTTGTAAAATTTTGTTGCCAGTGAATCCATGAATTGATTGTTTTTCCAGGAGACCCGCATACTAGAGAAAAAAAGCCTTGGAAAGTAAAGTGGACACAATCAAAATCAGAATCAATTGATCCACTGTGTGAGAAGGTACATTTATTGTAACTAAACAAGTCTTCTACTATGAACATTATACATAGGTACTTGAGAAAATGAAAAACAAAATACATGTAGTCTCTAACAAGCGTGCTACTAAATATAAGTAAAGAAAAAAAAGGTCAAATATGAAATCAAGTTATCTGTTAATTATTTACCAAACTTGTAGCTCTTCATTCAAATGTGGCTGAGAAAGAAATGTCTGTCACTCTGTAGTTCACCTTTAAGTCATTAATCCTGAACAATTTAATATGAGTGCAAGGGGTCTCATTGAATTTGATCTATAAATTTCATGCCCTCAATCTTTTATTCAATTTTACAGAATCCAGAAGGTCTAGTATGTGCTCGTCAGAATTCCACTCAGAAAGGTACAGCTACTTCATTAATAAATCCCCATGAAAGTTTGATTCTAAAAGCTGTATAATTTAGTTGTTATTGGAAATACTTAATTTGACAGTTGCTTACCCTCAGACCTCAAACCTGTTATGCTTTTGGGCAAGGACATTACATTACATTATCAGACTAATAGTTAGGCTGTGGAATATGAAAAGACTACTGCATTTCCTTTAAGGCGTGAAGCTGCTTTTACTAGTCAAGAAACTTAACTTTCTAACTTCCTCTTACAGTGCTGTGATTCTAAAACAGGTGTGATTCTAATAAGGGTCATCACGACGTGTTGACAATCAATTCATTCACTACATAGTATTGTTGACATTCTGTACATTCACTATTTGTGATCATTGCTTTTAGAGCCCAAGCTGCTAGAAAGCCTGCTTAGCCAGGAATCCACCCTTCAAGCGGTCTGTGAAAGGCTGGACACCTTTGTACGTTTGGGTGGTGACTATAGAGCAGTGGCCAAGTATTATGGGTTTAACTATTATCAGATAAGCTCAGTGCTTGGTCAAGCAACTTACCCGGGAGAGCCCACAAAAACCAGAGCACTGATTGTGTCACTTGCATCTTCCCGTCCAAACCTAACAGTTAAGGAGTTTGCAACTGTAGTGGAGGAGAAGGCCAAGAGAAAAGATGTCAGTCGTCTGTTGAGGGCCTATGACATGGCAGAAGAGGCTACTGAAGAAGAGTAAAAGTTTTTGCTATAAGAAGTGCTGTAAGGGTGCAAAGGTCTCCTATTGGGCTTAAACAGTGAACCTGGGTTACCTGTGCTTAAGGTTGTAATAAGTGCAGTTTTCATTCTTTTTTGATTCTGTAGATTTTGTTAGTAAACATGTGGGTATCTACGTTTTACAATTACTTCAGTTTTTAACATTGTTCGACTCTATAGGTTCATTAAGAACATCTTGTCGATTGTAGATAGAATACTTAAAAAGGGCTTCTATTATACTACTGATATCTTAATTTTCGTAAGTTGTACATGTTTTTCCTAACGTCGTAGATATATAAATTACAAAATATTACTGATGCTGTAGTGACGGGCATCGTTTTTTAGCCATGTAATGGCATATATCGAAGACAAAACTTTAAGAATAATTATTGGAGTAGTACTTCTTTATGTTTTCACTACATATTTTTGTTGTAAATCAGCAATTAGCTTTATGTAATTAGTAAGTTACTAAGATTCCTTAAACAAAAACATCGTTCTTTTCAGAATGAAGAGAATCTTGAGAAAATCGAACGCAAAGTAACATATTGTATCAGTATGACGACCTTATTTTCATTTTACTTCACATACTGTTTTGTTTTAGACAAAGGCTTAATAATTACTTTTTTCCTCTAGTTAATGTTTCGATAATAAACTTTGATCTAGTGATGGAATTATATTCAGGTAAATATCCACAAAATACTTGCTTGTATCAAATGCACGTTAGGGATGTTTTAATTAGACAAATTTTACCAAATTTTGAGCGTCGTTTTAGAAAACTGTCATGTTAAGTCTATATGATTTTCCTGTGTAGGACAGTTTGTAAATTGCCCTTTTTTTTGTTTGTAAGAGGAGTTGAGACACCGTGTCAGTCCGGGGGGGACTCCCTTACAAAAGTGAAGGGGATGCTCTTCGTCTCGCTTTGGGGTGTAAATTACAGATTTTGGTCTCACTTAGGGTGTTTGGGATGGAAAGGTACTATATTTGCCTATTCAGGTATCGCTTAGTACTATGCATACAGAAATTTAAAAAAAAAAATGCTCTGACACTGACCACACAGAAATCTCCCTTAGGATTCAGTTTAAGCTTGAACCACCAACATTGCTCTCCCTGAGAGGTTAATTTGAATTTTCCGACGTCGGAGCATCCTCGTTACTTTTATAAGGGAGTCGCCCCGAGGTGTCAATAAGATGCGATCCCTTCTCGCTAACACACAAAACGTATTCATGAGGTGCGATTATTGGCGATGACATGAGGTAGCGTTTTACAGTGTTATGACTCCTTTTCACATCAAAATTGACATAGGACAAGAGTATCTTATATTCTAATTATCCAGCAATAAACCGCGTGTTTCATATAAATGCCTTGCCACATGAGCTCGTTATATTAACGGGAACAAGGGAGGAGGTTACGGCTTTTCTTTCCCTCACCAAACAAACGCAACAGGTTTTTAAGTTAGTCATTCGTCTATTTCGTCTTTGCGTCGGGTGTTTGAATTGGCATCTTCCAGCCATTTTCCCATATGGCTGACTCTAGTCTTTCAGGGGCGGATCTAGGGGGAGGGTGCTAGGAGTGCGCATCCCCCCCCCCCGAGATGACCTGCGGTTTTCTAATACAACTGGTATTCTGCAAAAAAAGACTATGTGGTTTATTGGTGTTAAAGTAGCGCAAGAGACGAGTGCACCCCCTCCCGAAAAAAATACTGGATCCGCCCCTGTCTTTAGTATCTGCAACCAGTTTTTAACCTTTTTTCTTTCATTCTTCCTCTTCTTTCAAACTCAAAGACGGCGCTGAGATCACTAAGCACTCGCCGCTTGCTTGAAAGCGAGACCTAGCATGCAGGCTGTATCGGCGGGAAACCAACAAACTCGTACCCAAGTACCACTTGCTCTGCCAAGTTACATTTTCACGGGGAGATTGGTGAGGAGCTTAACAGGCTCTTCTCTCCCCCAGGGGTCTCCACCTCTCGCCTTTGGTCGCATTTTCTCGCTTTCACTTCGCCCATAAAGAGATGTCACAGGCTAAAGCAATCAACTCAGCGGTATTAAACCTTTTCTATCGTTACTTGATGTGGAATACACAAACTAAAGAAAGTCTCTCCAAATTACGAGCTTTAAGTGACTTTCCACGACCCCCAGCCAGCTCACCCATACACCTACCTAAAAAAAAGGCTGGCATTGTGACGCGCGTAACGTAAATAAGGCGGGGAATCCCCTTGTTTTTAATCAATTTCCAACCAGTTTTCAACCAGTTACCTTGTTGCAAAGCGCAAGTAGGTTTTAAAATAACAGTTTCGTTGCAACTTTCTACTTTCTGCGCGGCACACGGCTTGATTGGTATTCAAATGAAGATGACTAAAAAAGACTGATGGTTACTTGTTTAATTGGCGTGAAGGTATGTCTTATGTAATGGTCTTTGCTGAATAATCGATTGGACGTGCTTTTAATCTAGTATGACTAATTACTTTCATTAAATAGAAAGCGTCCAATCTTGGAACAGGCCAGCCAAAACGAGGACCTGAAAAGATACGAAGCACGACAAAAGAAGCTGATTCCTTAACTTGTGTCGTGGGAATCTTTTCAAGAGCGTTGCTTTTGCTATCGTTGGTAAGTAAACAATTGTTGGCGGCCATGATTGGTGACCCTTTGTTTTACTACTTATAGTTGTATGTATGTATCAACTTTATTAAAAGAGGGTAACGCAAAACAGTAAACTGATAAACCTGCGGCCCTCATCATGAAACAGTTAACAATTTCAATTAAAAATATACCTAGAATAATCCGAAAATTACAATTAAAAATACAACAGTAAAAAGTGCAATAAAAAGTTGTGAATAGGAAGTTATCAAACAATAAACATACTGAGCACAGAAAACTAAGAAGATGCATAAAAGTCAGTTAAGGCCTTTTTAAAACCATGCACACATTCAATACGTTTTACTTCATATTATAAAGGCCGAAAGTCAGATTTTTAGACCTAAATGAAATACGCGAATGTAAAATGTCCTGACTGGGCATTTTTATGCATATGCATGACTTACCACAATGGATTTTAAAAAATGTCTCGTGATCACACACACGTTAAGGGTCACCGGATTATAACTTATGGACATTTGATCGAATTCCGGAAAAAAAAATGTCAAAACAAATAAAAAAAAACCACTATGTCATTTCGTGTTTTGGTTTGATTAATTAATTTGTGAGAAGTATGAAACGGTAATAAATCTTTGGACATGACGGGGACATGACTCCTTCAATGCTAAGGGAATGCGACAGGGCTGTCTTATAATTTATACACCATTAGGCTTCAAATCAAGAAAATAAGGTGATTGTTTGTTAGTGGAAATAATTCTAATTTTCATGGATGTCTCCAGTTAGTGACTTCAAAAAAGAAATTCGAGAGCCTTGCAGAAAAGAAAAAAAAGGATGAACAAACTTAAGATTAAAAAGTTATTAAAAGTGCAGAACTCTCGAGTCGTAAGTCGTTTATTACTAATGACCCTTGTCTAAAATAACTGGCTGTCAATTTTTTAATTTATTTTTTATTGTTCTAATTCATCTTAGCTCCAGATACAGACGAGTGGTTGTTATGGTTGCGGTAATGACCAAGTCACGTGGAGAAGGGACAATGCGGCACAGAATGACACGTGTCTGCCCTGCATCGACTGCCCGGATGGAATGGAGTCCTCTATTCGGTGCGGAGGGGTTGCGAAATATGGAACAGACCTGCACTGTGTGGCGTGCAAAGTGGGAATGTATTCTGATTCCTATGGTAAAGAACAGTGTAGGCCATGTTCTTTGTGTTCAGAGGGGAGGTCAGTTAAACGTAACTGCTCTGCATCGCAAAATAGACTATGTGGCTCGTGCAACTATGGTTACTACATGAATGATGTTGTCTCAAGCTGCCTGTCTTGTTCCATCTGCTGTTGGGATGGTAAAGACCAATTAGAGAGTCAGTGTATAGAACAGGGATTACCAAACCATCGGCAATGCAGACCGAGACACAAAGATGGCTGTGATCTATCGACAACAGCAACCAAAGAAAGCACAAGAACTGAGGGCAGGATCGTGATCACCAGTCCAACTACAATAAAGAGAACAATTCAAACGAGAAAAACCACGTCGAGAATTTCAGTCACGGTACAAGACGACAGCACCAAAATACAATCAAATAAAAGTACTACACCTTTCCAGTCGCTCTCAACTGCCACGGAACAGCTGGAAGAAGAAATAACCAAGCGTAAGCCCACGCCCCAAACAGCTCTGACCCGACACCCGAGAAGAAAGAACCGAGAAAACACTGCATCTACACACTTAACCACGAGGGTGTTTTCTTATGGTAAAGATGGAAGATCTCTGGCAGAGAGGAGCGAAAACGAGAGGAGAATTATCGTCGCCGTTGTTGTCAGTATGGTGGTTCTAATCCTCTTGGCTGTCATTATCAAAAGGAACACTGTTGGAAACTACTTGATATGGATGAAGTGTCGTCCCGTTTGTAGGTCTCGCGATTCCGAGCTCGGTGAAGGTACTGAGAGAAGCAGTTTAGACGAAAGCAGATCATCAGTCGTGGTTGTCCCTGATATAAATGGAGTTCAGGGAGGTAAGTGCAGTTTTCTTAATGTTCTTTCTTCCATTCTTCTTACTAAATTTCCGGATTCCAGTATAAAGAGATTATGGATGGAACTTGGTCGCTTTTGCAATCGCTTTATGTACTTGCATGGTCTTACAAATGAAGCTTGTTGTTGTTGTTGCAAAAAAAGTGCATAGGCGATATGCTACGACTGGAAAAAATATGATGCAAATATGTGCAGCGAAACAAAGCCTGTATCTAGGGCCGCAGAAACAGAGAACACTGCATCCAGAAATACGTTTCACTCTCTCAGGAAACTTTTAAAAGTTTAGAACCAGGTGGCAAAAATACACAAGAGACTTCCGTGGAAGTGAACTTCCAGCATGAAATTTCCGTGGTACCTTTTTTGAGGTTTTAATCATTTCATTTCTATATTTCTTACAGTTCTGTCTCCTTTGAATACACTCAAATATCTTTCATTAGACGCTTACGAAAAAGTCTGGAAGCGAATGGACAAACGACCCGAAGGAACAAACAAAGGTGACTTTAAAACTGTAGCTCTAGAGTTCGGGTTTGAAGAGGAAAACATTTGGGAACTAGAAAAGGAATTTAAGACGTCTGGATCAGGAAGTCCTTCAAGACAACTGCTAGAGGCCCTAGAAACAAGACGACCTAAGTTAACTGTGTTTGAATTTATTATAGTGATGAAGAAGCCAAACATCGATAGGGACGATATCGCTGACATCCTTCAAGATTACGTTTTCAAATGAACATCACTTTTTCAAAACTGAATACCTTCACGCTCTGTAATTACCATTCCACATAGTAAAATTGTATCGAAACTGTAGGACCGTCCAGCTGAGTACCATACCTATCGTAAAACGGTAAAGCCCAAAAAAGCAGGGTGCGTTCCAGTGGTACGACAGCTCACCCAAACACAAAAAATCCAATATGCCGACGCATAGAAGTCCTTCAAAGAAGCCGGGAGTTTGTAAACTCTTTCTAAATGTTATCTTTCGTTTGTCATGATTCAACGTTTTTTTTATGAACAGGAGCTCTGCTTTAATGTATATATTAGTTTTTCATTTAAAATCGCCATATCATAACCAATGAGTTGCTTGAACGGTGGTAGTGCTGGTCACTTCCATACTGTCATGATGTATCTCTTTTAAACAATAAATAAACAAGTTACCTGACATTTAGTATTTTGAAGGAGTTTTTTTCTCGTACCAAGATCGGAGAACCCCCTTTCACAGACCCTTTGTTAATCTACAGATAGAGGTTTATTTAGCTTTTTTTTAAAGTTAGCTTTTTATCTCCTTTAAACAATAACCTAGTTACGTGACATTTGGATTAACTTTAAAAAGCAGTTTCCTTCTTGTGCCGAGATTACAGCATCCCCTTTCACAGCCTCTTTCTTAATCTCCGGACAAAGGTTTATTACGTTTTTTGTCTCTAAGGTGAAACTAACTGTTTTAGCGTTTCGCGTCCTTGATTTAAATTTTTAGGGTTGAGATTACCCCTGAATGGATCAAGGAAAGTCCTCTTTTAACTTTGTTTGCAAGTACGATCTTCCTTTTAATCAAATGAGCCGCGGCAAGAATCGAATTCCTTCTTAGAGCGAGATGTTACTGACACAGCGAAAACGTGGATACAAATTACATATACATATATAGTAAATCAGTGGCTATATTTGACTTATACCAGTCATACAAGTTTGATCCTGCTTGCAACATGCCTGTCTGACGTACTGTACGAACCATAAAAGGTGGTTAGGGGAATCCCCGACGGAAAAGAGCATTGCGCTTTTGGTTCAATGTTGTGGGTGCTGATTCTATGCCCAGTCCAAAATAGTGTTGTACCCTTAAGTAGTTTCTAACGACGTTCTTAAAGCTGCACAAATGAAAATCCACTTTTAAGAACCTGAAGAGATGTGTTGTCAATAGCCTGTAAACGACGTTGTTTTATTTTTCTTTTCGAAAACATCGTCTATTTTCTTCCTCCCCCACCCCTACCCCCTTGCGCTGGCGGTCAATAAATCCCCGCGGTTTTTATTTTTTATCACGCGCGCTCGACGAACTTTGAAGAGAAAACAGAAGGTCTGTGAACAGGCTACTATGTGAATGTTCCTCCGTGTTTCTTTCCAAAAATATACTATGAGGTCATGAAGTCTCACTATAGGAGATAGGCGCTGGCGAGGTCAAATTTCCCTAAGGTCGGCTGGAGTTATTAGAGAATATTATTAGACGGCTATGGTTCTTTAAGAGTTATGCAAGCAATTACGCATAATATTCCGATACATCGACTCTACTGCCTATTTTTAGGAAGTTCCTTATGTCGTAACGCAACGCTCCTTCCCACAGAAGAGAAGAGCCGGAGGGAGGAGCGTTGCGTGACGAACGGTTGCCCATATGAGGCTAGATTTGGTTGTTTGTTATTTCTATGGTTCTTCACTTTTGTTTTTGTAACAAATATTCCGTGCACTGGTTTTAGTGTCAGAAATATTACCCAAGTCACATGTTCGTGAAGCGATCGCAATGAAGCAAGTTTCAGTCATATCTGACCCGACTGTAGCCTGTGCC